GCTGGAACTGAAACCACAACTACTACTTTACACTGGGGGCTTTTATATATGATCCACTACCCTGATATACAAGGTGTGTGTATAAGTAATATCTACCAGCAATATATAGTTTGTGAGCTTAGTCAACTGTGCACAACACTTATTTTCCTGTTTTCTGTGTGTGCAGAGAAAGTCCAGGCTGAAATAGATGCTGTGGTTGGTTCATCCAGGCAGCCGTCTACAAGTGACAGAGAAAACATGCCGTTCACTGATGCAGTTATTCATGAAATCCAGAGAAGTGGAAATATCATCCCACTTAATGTGGTCCACATGGCAAACAAGAACACAACTCTGGATAAATATTCAATCCCAAAGGTATACAATCCACTAGTAACAAATGTGTGTATTTACAAAACAAATTAACCTGATAGAAGACCATAAATAATGAATAAAGAATAATTCTGAGATACTCAAATCGCAGGCTTGATGCTAAAGAACTGTAGCTAATGGGAAGTTCAAATCCTATCATTTAAAGAAATATTTTTGTTTCAGGGCACCAAGATCTTGGCTACATTGCACTCTGTTCTACACGATGAGTCAATGTGGGAAACTCCACATTCCTTCAACCCTCAACACTTTCTGGATCAGGATGGAAAATTTAGGAAGAGGGAGGCCTTCATTCCCTTTTCTGCAGGTTAGTTATTAGTTACAATCAGAGATGGCAAAAGTACAGACTTTCTTTACTTGGGTAGAAGTAAAGATAATTGTGTTAAAAAATACTTCACTAAAAGTTGAGGTACTGAAGCAACAATTTTCTGTCACGTAAATGATAGAGGGTGATTTTGCCGCCACACCTAAACAGTAATCACAACTCAGTAATTTCTAACACGAGCCTCAGTAGGTTTTCTTAGTGGACAGGCTGTGATCAGCTGACCTGCTGCTCTTTGTGGATGTACACAAGTGAATTTAACAAGATGTCAGCAGTTTCCCGAGCTATCTTGGCCGATGCCCATCAGCCACACAGACACTATACTTTTTATACTATCTTTATACTAGGCCTATACAGTCGGCATGAAGTGGGAATTCAGTGAATGAATCTAAGCATGATCATCTTAAATGCAAATTCATATCTGCTGCACTTGATGTAACCTAAATCTGA